ATACTCATCCTTCAAAACCCAGAACACAAGTGGTCTCTGGTATCTAAATGTCACTGAAAGCTTTCCTCCGGCTGTGACAGGAACTCTGTGCCTTTATCCTCCCCAGCTTTTCTTATAACACTATTAAGGCAAACGGGGGCTTGGAAAAGCTGAGCTCATAACAGCAAGCTCCTGAGAATCCTGGGACTGTGTCTTTTATTTACTTTGAATTTGCAGCACCTAAGACATTGCTTCCTAAGGGCTTCCCTGGTGGCTCAGAGGTTAAAGTGTCTGCCTGCAATGCGGGAGGCCCAGGTTCGATCCCTGGGTTGGGAAGACCCTCTGGAGGATGGCATGGCTACCCACTGCAGTATTCTTACCTGGAGAATTCCATGGACAGAGGAGCCTGGTGAGCTACAGTCCAGGGAGTCGCAAAGAGTCGGACACAACTGAGAGACTAACACAAGACATTGCTGCCACTGCAGATTTTTACTGAATGACACGAGCTCTCAGAGAACAAGGATTAATTAGCTGGTTTAGCTTCTCCTGCAGGGTCTGCCCTGTCCTGTCTTGAACCTCTTTTGAACTGTGCTGTGAATCCCTGCAGGAAGGCTCTGGCAGACCTTTGGTGCATAAATCAATTTGTCTACAAAGGAAACCTAGGTGAAGTCTGGACAGCTGGCATTCATAAATCCTGCATGTTGGTGGCATCTGCCAGAAACACATTTCCCCTGGCAGGCATGCATACTTGGAGTTACTTTGGAGCTAATTTACATATTCAACAGTTTGGACATCTCTGCATCTCCACCTGATGGAAACAAACAGAGCTCACTGGGGACCACAGAGGGAGTGGCTCGCATGCTTCTAGGCTGTATGGAGGTCATGGAAAGGTCTCCTGGAGCGCGATGTGACCTCCGGGGCTTTCTTCTGATCAACTCATTCTCCAAAGGGCAACTCGAAACTCTGCAAGGAGAGAGGGAGAGGGCTCTGTCTGTCCTCAATGATCTAAAGGGATGTTTTATGAATGGCTTCTCTTCCGGCCACAGTCCCTTTGGGTCAAGTTCATACTGGTTAGGAAAACTCCGGGTGCGATTTTCTTCGACAAGGGCAGTGAATTTATAGCACCACGTGTCAGAGACAGAAAAAGAGGGAGTGAGCAATGCTTCTTGCTGACCATTGTGGCAGACTATGTGCAGCTATGGCTTCTAAGCATGGAAGGTCAAAGTTCAGTGACTCTAGTTATATCGACAAACAGGAACCATTCCATCTCCGCCACTCTATGGGCTGAACCCACTCCCCGATTGTGCTCCCGGACATCTAGCCCTTGGGTTTCACTCAAGCAAACCCAGATGCTCTTACACACCCTGGTAGCTTCTGAACTTGCTTCCCTGCCACTGGCCCGGCCCATCTAACCCATCCCCTCAGCAGCCAGCAAGCTCTCCATGAAAGACAGACCCGATTCCATGACTTCTCCACCTCAAATCAGACAATGGCTCCCACTGCTTTGGGATGATTTCTAGGACTTCATCCTAATGGCTCTTGTGTGATTAGTGCTCATAAGTCTCCTTTGTCATCACCGGAAAGCTCTTTCAACCACCTTGGTGTAGGCTACTATCTTGCCCTTAGGCCTCATGCAAACACCTTCTCCACTGGAATACTGTCCCTCCACTACTGTTTTCACACATCTAATTCCTATTTCTCCTTTTTGAAAAAAATGGAAATATAGTTGATTTACAATGAAGTGTTAGCTTCAGGTATGCAGCAAAGTGATTCAGTTTTACATATATAATATATATTCTTTTTCAGGTTCCTTTCCATTGTAGGCTATTATAAGATATTGAATACAGTTCCCTGTGCTACACAGTAGGTCTTTTGCTGTTTATCTGTTTTATATGCAGCAATGTGCATCTGTTAATCCCAAACTCCTGATTTATCTCCCCCACCTTTCCCCTTTCATAACCATAATCTTGTTTTCTATGTCTGTGAGTCTATTTCTGTTTTGTAAGTTCACTTCTGTCATTTTTTTTAGATTCCACATTTAAGTGATATCATATGACATATGATACAGCCACTATGGAGAACAGTGTGGAGATTCTGCAAAGAATCTAAAAACAGAATCTAAAAATCTAAAACTAAAAACAGCCACCATATGGTCCAGTAATTCCACTTCTGGGCATACATCTGGAAAAGGTGAAAACTCTAATTTGAAAAAAAGACATACACCTCAATGTTCACAGCAGCACTATTTACAATAGCTAAGACATAGAAGCAATCTATGATCAACAGATGAGTGGAGGAAAAAGACGTGGGGTGTGTGTGTGCATGTGTAACAGAACATTCAGGCATAAAAAATGAAATAATGCCATTTTCAGAACACAGACAGACCTAGGAACTATCATCCTAAGTGAAGTAAGTCAGACAGAGAAAGCCTAATTCCTACTTATCTTTTATCTCATCCTGAAAACTTCCCCCTTGATTGGGTCCCCTAAGGATGCTCATCGCATGACCAATGCCCGCTCACTTGTACTTCTGGCTGCCCATAAGCTCCACACTCCCCCGGAGGGGGGCCGAGCTTGTCTTGCTCACCCCGCAGCCCCAGCATCTCTCACACTGAGGAGGCACATCGCGGGTGGTCCAGTGAGTGAATGAACAGATACGAGCGTGCAGGGACGGTAACCCAAGCCACCTCCCACAACGCGGGCAGCGTAGGGGACGCTCGAAACCGCACTCACCATCGCAGGTGCAGCGCACGTTCCGGTAGAAACGCGGGCACACGAAGCTGATGCGGGCCGTGCTGTAGGTCATGAGCGCATGCGAGTCCAGCGACAAGCCCTGCTCGCAGTGCTGCTCCTGACAGTCCAGCCCGGAGCAGTTCTTCTCCAGGATGGCCGAGATGCGCATCGCGTTCTCCAGGTGCCTCCTGGAGTTGGACAGCTTCTGGATGAGGTAGGCCGGCTTGTAGAACTCGCTGCTGTGCGTCTCCACGGCGAACAGCATGTCCAGCTCGCTGGTGCCCGCCACAGGCTGGATGCTAATGATGTGCAGGCTGTCCTGCTTCTGGGTCAGGACCGCGTTGCGCAGGGTACGCCGGAAGCCATGCATGTGGAGCCCCACGAAGTCCTCGGGGGACACGTTCTCGAAGCGGATGGTGACGGTGTTCTGCAGCATCTCGGGCACTAGCTGCTCCACGTGCACGACCACGTCGATGGGCACCTGGAAGCGGCCGTCACTCACCGACACGTTCAGAACGTACTTGCCGCTGTCCAAGCCCCCCAGCGCGATGATCTTCCCATCGTGACTGTTCACCTTGAACAAGCTCTTCTGCTCCGATTTCAGTGCAAACGTGAGGACGTCATACACATCCTGATCGGTGGCGTGGATCTTCCCGATGACCCCACCAGGAAAGTCGTCCTCCATGGTGACAATGAAAATCTCCAGGGGGATGGCTGTGGGCTTGTGGATACTCTCCTCAATGACCCGCACTCGGACGTAGGAGTGAGACACTTGCTGAGGTTTGCCGGAGTCTTTCGCCTAAAATCAGCCAGCAGGGAGGGAAGACAAGGAAGTAAGGTAAAAGCCCGCAATAATTTTTTAAAAAGAAACAAAACCCAGATAGAAAATGTCTGCTCCTTTAACCACATTGCTGCTTCCTCCATCCCTTGTCATTATTCTACAAAACTTGAGCATGTACATATGTCAGAGGAGTGATTTATCACTTTTGGTGCCCCTAAGTGCACTTTGCTATGAGAATAAAATGTGTCAACATAATAAAGCCAGTGGGGGTGAACTGGGATGGAGGGTGCTGTGAAAGCCACAGAGCCCCAAAGAGGCTGGCATGTTTTAATTTTAGACAGAAGCCACAGGGGAGCCTCGTAAAGTGACATTCCCACTTAGAAGAGAAATTGTGGCTTCTTTGCTTTGGATGGGACCAGACAGCACTTTTCTGTACATTTAAGAAACAACGTCATTTCAAGTGTGAAGTACACAATATCGAGGTTTAGAATAAAAGGTGGTACAATGAAAAAAGCCTGAAAAAAGCCATTTTGTCTTCCTTCTTTCTGTAAGGATTGACAGAACTGCCACCCTGAAACAGATCTTAACTGAGGTCCTGCCACATACAATATAAAGGCAGTCAGTGCTGGAGGGCTTCTGAGAAGGGCAGATTCTCAGCAGCTGGGGCCCCAGGGTGGGCGTCTCAGGATGGGGGTTGGCCAGGTGACACCTCAGGAGATATGTCCTTGTATGTGTAAGGCAGTGTGAAAGCAGGAGCTTGGTCATCACATGGACCTGAGTTCAAATCTTTGCTCTGCCTCTTACTATGTGTCTGGTTTGGAGTAAGTCACTTAACTTCTTCGAGCTTCAATTCTTGTATCTTATTTGAATGAAATAGTCCTATCTACCTCACAGGATTCTTGTACTGTGGGGATTAAGACTCATATGATTGCAACATACTCGGCACAGACCCGACCCACAGAAGTACTTGGTGCATAAGAGTTAATGTGGTTGTTGTTATCTTTATTATTCCCATAACCACATGCTTTTTAAAATGGACTTTATGAACCAGAGATGCTAGAATGGAAAATTCAGTTAGGGGGAGATCAATTTAGCAAATAGGACTGAACTTGAAGTCAAACTGTGTAGAGCCTTGAAGGACAATGATGAGTTCAGACTCCATAGGTCAGAGGCTGCCCACTCAAAGATCAGAGGCCAGAAAAGCAAGAAGCCACTGGGTGTAAGGAACAGACCCATGGGCCTGTGGGCTAAGAAGGACTGGATAGTCATGTCTGCCTAAAAACCCTAAAATTCAGTGTCTGAACCAGCCAGAATTCACAAGGTTTCTGGCAGTAGGGAGCTTAGATGTTTTTAGTTTAGGGGTTAGCACCCATTTTCTGTAAAGGGCTAGACAAGAGATATTTTAGGCTTTGGGGTTATATGATCTGTATTAACTACTCAACTTCCAGCAGGAAGGCAACCCAGAGCATAAGTAAATGAACCAGGGAGGCTGAGTTCCCATAAAACTTTATTTATAAAAACAGGTTGAGGGCAGGATGTGGTTCAGGGTTATAGTCTATTAACTTCTTCGAGCTTCAATTCTTGTATCTTATTTGAATGAAATAGTCCTATCTACCTCACAGGATTCTTGTACTGTGGGGATTAAGACTCATATGATTGCAACATACTCGGCACAGACCCGACCCACAGAAGTACTTGGTGCATGAGAGTTAATGTGGTTGTTGTTATCTTTATTATTCCCATAACCACATGCTTTTTAAAATGGACTTTATGAACCAGAGATGCTAGAATGGAAAATTCAGTTAGGGGGAGATCAATTTAGCAAATAGGACTGAACTTGAAGTCAAACTGTGTAGAGCCTTGAAGGACAATGATGAGTTCAGACTCCATAGGTCAGAGGCTGCCCACTCAAAGATCAGAGGCCAGAAAAGCAAGAAGCCACTGGGTGTAAGGAACAGACCCATGGGCCTGTGGGCTAAGAAGGACTGGATAGTCATGTCTGCCTAAAAACCCTAAAATTCAGTGTCTGAACCAGCCAGAATTCACAAGGTTTCTGGCAGTAGGGAGCTTAGATGTTTTTAGTTTAGGGGTTAGCACCCATTTTCTGTAAAGGGCTAGACAAGAGATATTTTAGGCTTTGGGGTTATATGATCTGTATTAACTACTCAACTTCCAGCAGGAAGGCAACCCAGAGCATAAGTAAATGAACCAGGGAGGCTGAGTTCCCATAAAACTTTATTTATAAAAACAGGTTGAGGGCAGGATGTGGTTCAGGGTTATAGTCTGTTGACTTCTGGTTTAGTGGAATGAGATAATCAAAATGGAACAGTTAGCCTGGAAAGGGTACAGAGATGGATCAGAAAGAATAAAGCTGAGGCCAGAGGAACATCCAGGAGGTTTTGCAACAGTCTCAGTATGGGATAATTTAGAATAAAGGGGGGAGATTGCAAAGGGTATATACCTGATGCACACTGAGACATTTTGGAGACAAAATGTGTGCCTCGGTGGTAAGTTTAATATAAGGGACCAGGAGCAGAAAGCTCTCCATGGTGTTTACAAAGTCTGAGATGTGAAATATGCTCTGTAACCACCAGAGAAGGTATGCAAAGAACTGTACTAGCTCCTGTGCACACTCAGGTCACTCAGTCATGTCCAACTCTTTGCGACCCCATGGACTATAGCTCTCCAGGCTCCTTTGTCCATGGGATTTTCCAGGCAAGAATATTGGAGTGGGTTGTCATTTCCTCCACCAGGGGATCTTCCCTATGCAGGGATCGAACACAAGTTTCTTGCATTTCCTGCAATGGCAGTCAGGTTCTTTACCACTAGTGACAGCTGGGAAGGCCCAGTAGCTTCTGTGAGAAGGTACTAAAACTCTCTCCTTGCCCTTGAGGACCTCTACTGTGATATAAAGTCATTCACATAATATTGTTGGAGGAGTGGGTAGCAATTGAAGCATTTATCAATGTGCTTCTAGCCAAAAGTCATTAATTTAAAAGGTTTTGTGGGGTTCCCATAACTTATCCAAAGAGATAAGGTACACAATTAAACTCTATATAAAGACTGACTATTCTAATAAATTGCCACTATTAATAATAGGTTGTTCTCTGTGCCAACTGTGCTTTTAAAAAAAGTCACTCAGTTTCACTGATGGGACCCACATCTTGGGACTGGCAAAATTTGCAACCAGGGAGTTTTTGGTGCTCTCTCAGTTCCTGTTCTGTTCACACCCTTCCCATAACGGCCACTTCTGCCTCTTGGTCTCCCTTCATCCGACATCATGACCTTGAAGAAGCTGAAACGTTGGGATGCCACTGCCACCCAAGTCCCTGTTCCTGTTTCCCCTCTGGGGAAACTTACAAAGAAGTGCAGTGTGCTAAGTCTCTTTAGTTGTGTCCAACTCTGTTATCCTGTGGACTGTAGTCCTCCAGGCTCCTCTGTCCATGGGATTCTCCAGGCAAGAACACTGGAGTAGGCTGCCATGCCCTCCTCCGGGGGATCTTCCCAATGCAGGTATCAACCCATGTCTTATGTCTCCTGCATTGGCAGGCAGGTTCTTTACCACTAGTGCCACCTGGGAAGCTCAAGCAGAGGTCTCTTAAAAGGCAGAGGCCATGAAATATTAATAGCTCCATCACACCAGGACAAGGATTGGTTTTTCCCAATTGGGGTGATCTGGGAAATACTTCTCAGTACCAAGAAGTAATAGAGAAGGAAATGGCAATCCATGCCTGTATTCTTGCCTGGAAAATTCCATGGACAGAGGAGCCTGGCGGGCTATACAGTCTGTAGGGTTGCAATGAGTGGGACATGACTTAGCAGCTCAATGACAACAACCACCGAGCAGTAAGCCTTGACCAATGAGTTGTCTTTGGGGCTCGTCTGGAACCCCAGGAATGTTCAGAATACAGATTTAAACCCAGAGACCATCATTCCGGCACTCCCTACAGGGAAGTCCTTTTTTAACAATGATGCTTCCTTTCCTTCCTGTTCAATTTCACACACAGAGGCCGCTTTTATTGGTGTGAAATTGAATTTGAGATGAAAAGGGGAACACTCCTACATGGTAATGAATTATGTTGACTTGCTCAACAGAAAACAAAAACCAAAAACCCAACCAAGGGGTAGGAGAGAAAGCTGGCCTGCAACAGGTAGAGGATGAGGCCATACCTGGACACACAGCACGTACTCTGCAGACTCCGTGTGCTGGAAGACCACGGCTGACCTTAGGATCCCGTCAGAGTCCAACACGAACGCCTCCTCTTCATTTCCCGACAAAATAGAGAAGGAGAAGGGAGGCCCATTGTGAAAGGAGTCTTTGTCTGTCACCATGAGCTGCAGAACACTGGTGCCTACTGGCTTATTTTCCTGCATAAGAGAGTATATTAAAAGGGAAGATAAAATTACACCTCTCTGCACATTAAAAAAAAAACCCCATCATTACCGGCTGAGAGTGCTGGGCTAGAAAACAGGGCTTTTAGTGGAAGGGATTCCCTGTGATATTATCTCGTCTTCCGAAGAATGCTGGTGTCTGTAAGCATCACCCATCATTGGCTGCCTCCCCAGACTGCCCCGTGAGACAATGAGCTGCAGTTGAGAACACGGGGACTTGGCCTTGAACTACTTTGTAGGCTCCAAGGACGTTGCCTGGCTCCATCTGTCCTTGAAAGGCCGCAATTGCCCTGAGATCACCCAGATGGCTCTGGAAATCCACGGTGCTCATCAGGCTTCACGATGGCATCAGAAATCCTCTGGGGCCAAGAAAACATCAACCTTTTGGGATGGAAAATCCGTCCTCACACTTGTCACAACACGATTATGCTGAGGTCCAACAAGGTGACACAGTGTCACAATATTGGACTTTTAGGGAGACATACTGGCAACTTCCTGGTAGAAATACAAGGGTATGTGTTGGGTGGAAAATAGGGCTTTAAATCCCACGCATCAGAACATAGTGTCTCTGTTTCTTGAGGGAAGAAAAAGGGGATGGGATATTCCTCAATCAGAGAATGAAGAGAAAAGACATCTACAACTTCATCAGAAGTGTAGGAAGCCCGGATATCATTATACCAATGTCATATTGCAGAAACTCTGCCTTCTATCCAAGATGGAAATAGAGACTCTTAGTAATTCCTTCTTGGGTCCAAGGTTGTCCTCTGAAAACAGAAAATTAAATTCCTCAGTGGCTTGGGCACTGGTCTCCTTGATCTGCCCTGTTTGGACTTCAGCATTACCAGAGTGCAGGCCTGGAGTCAGCTTCATTAGTTCAGGTCTTCTGAGGAGATTGACTTCGGATTAACTGAGTCTGGGTCACAGAGATGGAGACAGTGACACCCTGCATGATGGGAGTCATGCACACGGAGGATGCACTCATGTTTTAGGTGCTGAATTTGTCTTATAAGAACCATGTGTTGGAAAAAGAAAATTATCCTGGTGTGAACAATGGGAGGAGCATTATTTTTTTGCAAGAGGCGAGAAGAACCTCAGAGACCTCTCATTTGCATCTCCTCTCAAGTGGTCAGTTGGAACCAGACACCGGCTCTGTCTGGGATCAGTCGTGGAAAGGCCCTAGCTGTGCACAGATTTACCAGTGCACACTGACAGCAGCCTCAGCACCACACCAAACAGATTTATGGATTTGTTTGCTCTCTCTACAAAAGCCATTTCCTCTGCAGAAGAGAGAGGGAGAGATGATGTGTGCCCAAGGGTCGCACGTGAGGAAGGACAGTGAAATACAGTGCAGATGGCCGCACTGCAGACAGGAGCCACGGTCACCACTCAGGGCTGAGTCTCTGTTCCTCCCTGGCTGACTTCCTGGAGCACGGGTGAGGACAGGCCGTCAGGCTGATCGATCGTGTCATAAAAGCACAGGTTGCGGCAGCAGAGCCTGTTTTGCATGGGGCTAGTGTGGAGCAGGGGAGGGGAAGACAGTGGCCCTGAGGGGATGGGAGAGCCAAACCATCAGGGCACAGGGCGCTGGGGTGAGGGGAGGGTGTTGGAGCCTGGGCGAGGTCTGCGGAGCCGCAGGCATGCACAGCCACTGGAAAAAGCATCAGAGAGGAGAGGAAAAACAAATGCCCCCAGGGAAGGGGTCCGGTTCTGCCGAGGAAGCACTGAAAAGTGAGCAGAGATGTTCAGCTTGACCCTGGGGGGCCCAGTGCGGTGGGGTGGCGTGGGGGGAGCAATGGATAGCCAGACTCAAAGTCTTGAACGTTGCTCCAAGGGGGGTCCCTGGAGACCTGACTCACGCTCATCTCACCTTCTACCCACAAAGCCTGGGAACCCCTGGGGGTGATTCTGAGGCTGATTTCCTAGAATATCTGCGGCCGTCCCAGTACACATCTGTTCATCCCTGTCTCCTATAAATCCTGCACACTGACAGCATTCCTGGACTGGGTTTCCTGATCCTCCTGAAGTCAGGCTTCCAGCTTTTAGAAATGCTAGGAAATGGAGGTTGCTCAGTTAGGACTTGTGTTCATGAGATATCTTTTGAATAAAAATAAAAAAGGTAGGATGAAAAGTTGTTCTCTCTGAGAGCAGAATACCAGCAGGAAGTTACTGTCTCCTGCAGTCTAATTTTAGAGAGCAGGTGGGCTTAAAGTGCTAAACAAACTGCTTATGGAAGACTGATTTTAATGAGGAGCAATTCTAACCTGATGGCCAATCCCTCTTTGACAAAGGAGATGGCTCCTATCAATTTCCCTTCCCTGCTAGAACAGCACAAAGTGCTTAAAGGCAGCCTGTCATTGTGGGCAGAGAACACTCTCTTCTGAAGACAGGCCTGAATTCAAATGCTGACTCCAGCACTTTACAGCTGCTGACCTTGGGTGAGCTACAGAACCTCCCAAATCCTAACCTCCTTCACTCTAAACCAGGGGCTGGGCCACAATGGGGACAGATGCACAGAAAGCACTGGACACTTGAGAGAACCCCACTGGTGAAATTTTTCTCATCAATGTTTATTAATCCGTTGCAGTGAAAGAATCAGGCTCTTTTCATACCTGCTGGGAGAAATACCAACAACCTCAGATATGCAGATGACACCACCCTAATGTCAGAAATTGAAGAGGAATAAAAAGCCTTTTGATGAAGGTGAAAGAGGACAGTGAAAAAGCTGGCTTAAAACTCAACATTCCAGGCATAGAAGGAACATACCCCAACATAATAAAAGCCATATATGATAAACCCACAGCAAACATTATTCTCAATGGTGAAAAATTGAAAGCATTTCCCCTAAAGTCAGGAATAAGACGAGGGTGCCCAAACTCACCACTACTATTCAACATAGTTTTGGAAGTTTTAGCCATAGCAATCAGAGAAGAAAAAAAAAAAATAAAAGGAATCCAAATTGGAAAAGAAGTAAAACTCTCACTGCTTGCAGATGACATGGTCCTCTACATAGAAAACCCTAAAGACACCACCAGAAAATTACTAGAGCTAATCAATGAATATAGTAAAGTTGCAGGATATAAAATCAACACACAGAAATCTCTTGCATTCCTATACAGTAACAATGAGAAAGCAGAAAGAGAAATTAAGGAAACAATTCCATTCACCATTGCAACAAAAAGAATAAAATACTTAGGAATAAATCTACCTAAAGAAACAAAAGACCTATACATAGAAAACTATAAAACACTGATGAAAGAAATCAAAGAGGACACAAACAGATGGAGAAATATACCGTGTTCATGGATTGGAAGAATCAATATTGTCAAAATGGCTATACTACCCAAAGCAATCTATAGATTCAATGCAATCCCTATCAAACTACCAACGGTATTTTTCACAGAACTAGAACAAATAATTTCACAATTTGTATGGAAATACAAAAAACCTCGAATAGCCAAAGTAATCTTGAGAAAGAAGAATGGAACTGGAGGAATCAACCTGCCTGACTTCAGACTATACTACAAAGCCACAGTCATCAAGACAGTATGGTACTGGCACAAAGACAGAAATATAGATCAATGGAACAGAATAGAAAGCCCAGAGATAAATCCACGAACCTATGGTCACCTTATCTTCGACAAAGGAGGCAAGGATATACAATGGAAAAAAGACAACCTCTTTAACAAGTGGTGCTGGGAAAACTGGTCAACCACCTGTAAAAGAATGAAACTAGAACACTTTCTAACACCATACACAAAAATAAACTCAAAATGGATTAAAGATCTAAATGTAAGACCAGAAACTATAAAACTCCTAGAGGAGAACATAGGCAAAACACTCTCCGACATAAATCACAGCAGGATCCTCTATGACCCACATCCCAGAATTTTAGAAACAAAAGCAAAAATAAACAAATGGGACCTAATGAAACTTAAAAGCTTTTGCACAACAAAGGAAACTATAAGCAAGGTGAAAAGACAGCCCTCAGATTGGGAGAAAATAATAGCAAACGAAGCAACAGACAAAGGATTAATCTCAAAAATATACAAGCAACTCCTCCAGCTCAACTCCAGAAAAATAAATGACCCAATCAAAAAATGGGCCAAAGAACTAAACAGACATTTCTCCAAAGAAGACATACAGATGGCTAACAAATACAGGAAAAGATGCTCAACATCACTCATTATCAGAGAAATGCAAATTAAAACCACAATGAGGTACCATCTCATGCTGGTCAGAATGGCTGCTATCAAAAAGTCTACAAACAATAAATGCTGGAGAGGGTGTGGAGAAAAGGGAACCCTCTTACAAACTAGCACAGCCACTATGGAGAACAGTGTGGAGATTCCTTAAAAAACTGGAAATAGAACTCCTATACAACCCAGCAATCCCATGCTGGGCATACACACCGAGCAAACCAGAACTGAAAGAGACACATGTACCCCAATGTTCATTGCAGCACTGTTTACAATAGCCAGGACATGGAAGCAGCCTAGATGTCCATTGGCAGATGAATAGATAAGAAAGCTGTGGTACATATACACAATGGAATGTTACTCAGCTATTAAAAAGAATGCATTTGAATCAGTTCTAATGAGGTTGATGAAACTGCAGCCTATTATACAGAGTGAAGTAAGTCAGAAAGAAAACTACCAATACAGTATATTAATGCATATGTATAGAATTTAGAAAGATGGTAACAATGACCCTATATGTGAGATAGCAAAAGAGACACAGATGTATTGAACAGACTTTTGGACTCTGTGGGAGAGGGTCAGGTTGGGATGATTTGGGAGAAGGGCATTGAAACATGTATATTATCATATGTGAAATAAATCACCAGTCCAGGTTCAATGCATGAGACAGGGTGCTCAGGGCTGGTGCACTGGGATGACCCTGAGGGACGGGATGGGGAGGGAGATGGGAGGGGGTTCAGGATGGGGAACACATGTACACCCATGGCTGATTCATGTGAATGTATTGCAGAAACCACCACAATATTGTAAAGTAATTAGCCTCCAATTAAAATAAATAAATTAATTAAAAAAAAACCCTCAACATTAAGAAACCTAAGATCATGGCATCTGGTCCCATCACTTCATGGCAAATAGATGGGGAAACAATGGAAACAGTGAGAGACTTGATTTTCTTGGGCTCTAAAATCACTCTGCTGATAAAGGTTTGCATAGTCAAAGCTATGGTTTTTCCAGTAGTCATGTGTGGATCTGAGAATTGGACTATAAAGAAGATTGAGTGCTGGAGAATTGATGCTTTCAAACTGTGGCTCTGAAGGAAACTCTTGAGAGTTCCTTGGGCAGAAAGGAGATCAAACCAGTCAATGCTAAAAGATATCAACACTGAATATTCATTGGAAGGACTGATGCTGAAGCTGAAACTCCAATACTTTGGCCACCAGGTGTGAGGAGCCGACTCTCTGGAAAAGACGCTGTTACTGGGAAAGAGTGAAGGCAGGAGGAGAAGGGGAAGACAGAAGATGAGGTGGTCGGATGGCATCACCGACTCAATGCGTATGAGTTTGAGCAAACTCTGGGAGATGGTGATGGACAGGAAAGCCTGGCATGCTACACTCCATGGGGTCACAAAGAGTTGGGCATGACTTAGGGACCAAACAAGAACAAGAAATGATGCGGTGAGTTGATATTAGGCAGAAATAAGAGTAATCCATGACAAGGAAACCACAGCAGAGGAGGGAGGCTGAGTGCAACAGCACAGGTGCCTGGCAGGCCAGGTTTGCTTACCTGAATCACAGCGGTAGCGTTAGCAGGTGTAAAGACTGGGCTGTTGTCATTCACATCAGAAATGTCGATGTTGACAGTGGCAGTTGAGGACATTGCAGGCATGCCGCTGTCTACTGCCTGGATGAGCAGAGAGTATCCAGATACCTGTCAAAACACAAAGGGCCCACAGTAAAGATCACAGTGCCTGCTTCCTTCTGGGCCCACACAGAGGTGCCGTGGGCTTGCTATGCTCTGCTGAAGACAAGCTGTCTTTGCTCTGAGTCTCTGGACCAGGTTTCTCTACCTGGGCACCAGCTGGCATTTGGAGCCAGGTCATTCTTTGTTGCCGGGGGTGATCTGTGCATTGTAGGATGTTTAGCAGCACCCCTGGTCTCTACCCACTAGAAGTCAATGTTGCCTCTGACCATTTGTCAGAAAAAAAAAGTCTCCAAATACTGCCAGATGTCCCCCGGCGGTACATCACCCTTGGTTAGAAGCACAGCTCTTGGCCTTTGTTTAAAGGCCAAGTTGTCACCACTTATCTGTCTCATGTATCAGTTCTGATACTTCAGAAGTATCTCATGGGGCTCTATCACACAGTGAGATCTTTCTATTTCTAAGCATCATGTCTATGGCATGTTTTTCCATATTTTAACTTCACTTTGAAGACACATTTTTGGTCAAAAAAGACAATGTTTAGAAACTTGGTTTCACCTTGACAGAGGAATCTTCTGGATCATTCTTTCTGACCTAGATACCTTCAGGTAGTCCTTTTGTGTCAGCTCACTTAGGGCCAATGCTGCTCATGAAATCAGGAAAACAGGATCCCAATGCTGAATGTACTTTTCTGCCTTCTTGCTTTGGAAGGACAGAGATTCAAACCATTCAGAAATATACACTTTTCCTTTTTCTTTTAAACCTCCCTAAATAAGAAACCATCAGCATCTATTGGCAGCAAGTTCTTTCAAAGGTTTTAATGCAAATATTTCCTGCTGCATTTCAGCCCACTTCTATCTACTCCCATTATTTAGAATGGAGAGTGCTCGCACACTCACTTGCTCAGCTGTGTCCGACTTTTTGCCACCCCACGGACTGTAGCAGTCCTGTGTCTTGTGTAGCCCTCCAGGCTCCTCTGTCCATGGGATTTCCCAGGCAAGAATACTGGAGTGGGCTTCCATTTCCTTCTCCAGGGGATCATCCCAACTCAGGGATCAAAATCGTGTCTCTGTGGCTCCTGTATTGACTGGTGGATTCTTTACCACTGAGCCACCTGGGAAGCCCATTCAGAATGGAGAACCTTCCTAGTTAAAGAATCCATGCCTGATTTCAGTGAAGGGGGGTTTGGTTGTGGATAGGAAGGGAGCAGGCCTCAACTAGCTTACCCGTTCCCGGTCCAATTTCTTCTTAACTTTCACAAGTCCCAAGACAGGATCCACAGCAAATTCATTATCCCGATCTCCACTCACAATGGAAAAACGAATCTGTCCGTTGGGCTGGCTGTCTGCATCTTCTGCTATTAGCTTCACAGGATACAAACAAAGCAAAGACATGACGGGGAGACCAGAAAAGGTTTATTCTTAGGGTCCAGGTCTATACAAATGGGCACTGCTCACCAGTGCCAGCAATCAGGCCCCAGGGGGAGAAATTTTGGGTTAGCCTAAGAAGGAAAGCACCATTACTGGAACTGTTACTTTATTTCTCTTCCTTTTCATCTGAATGCAGCCTGATGCTTGTTAGGCCTGATTTCCCTGAGGCCTTAAGCCAGTTAAGACAGACCCCAAACTAACTGATAGGGATACTTCGGTAATTCTTTACCAATTCTGCAAAACAATGATCTATGCCACTGAGTTGGACTTTTTGTAAACCTATGCACTTCCATGCTAAGGAAGTCCAAGAGAACTTCCTGTCCCACATGGCTAACATGCAGACCCACTGCCTCCTGCTCCACGTTGCTGATTTGGCATTTTTGTGTACGGAAATAGTCTCATATAGCTCCAGGTCCCAGGAGAGAGGGCCTGGGGGGTCTACCTGGGATGTGTAAAGAAGGAATACCCCCAGCCTGGTGCTGCAGCAGCCAGGAAGGCACCCCTCCAGCCTAGGGGTGGTGAGGATGCTGAGGACAGGACTCCTTGTTTCCTGATGTAACTTTCACATCTAAGAGAACCTGTGTTCTCCTAACACATGTTCTTACTGTTATTAGAAAAAAGTTCCTTCCCGAAAGAGCTCCTCTAAGAGCGACGAATTGATCTTAAGGTTGATCCTGTTTGTAGCTGCCTACCGTGTGTGTGCGTGTGTGTGTGTGTGTTTGGTGTGGGGGAGGTGGAAATAATTGTTTTCTGTCCTTAGACTTGTCATCTAAGTTACAAACTAATAGCAGCTATTAGGAATTAATTCCACAGTCTCTTTTGTTTCCTTGAAAAACATACATTCCTAGGAGGAAAGTGGTTAAAGATCACCTACCCCTTGCTGTAAATGAACTTATCAGACCCTCTCTAATAGACAAAACAGGGGAGGAGCAGCTGAAAAAGTGGTGTCTGAGTAGAGCTCTTGGGGACCAAAGGGAGCCTGAAAGGAGAAAGTATCAAGAGAATGCAAGATGGACTTTGCTCACTTTTTCACTCTCTTGAGGATCATTCATCCCAGATACCTAGACCTCCCACTGGCACCTACCAAAATGACTGAGTCCCCGACCAAGGCGTCTTCACTTATGACAGCGCTGTACACGTCCTGGCTGAACTCGGGAGGGTTGTCATTCACGTCTGTGAGGTTGATGCCGACAGTGGTCACAGCGCTGAGGGCAGGCGTCCCCCCATCTTTCGCTTCCACCACTAGGTAAAACTTTCTGCACAATTCATAGTCCAGGGCCTCAGATACAGAAATACCCCCTTTGAAGAAAAATGGGGAGTTTTAGATTTGATTAGGAAAAAAACCACTCTGGTCAGCAGCTCCACAATCATGGTAATATCTGTGACATCGTCTCCAGCCAAGACTCTGAGATATTCAGAAATTTGTTTACTTAATGCCTGCTGAAAGCACCCCAGAGTCTGATTAACGCTGTCAGTTAAACACAGCTACCCACCAGACACAACACTGAAGAAATCGAGTCTTTGTGTATTTCTGCAACAGTGTCAGAGCCCCTCAAGCAGCCTGAAAATCTCTGGCATTATTTACCCTATGGGAAGAGGGGCGGGAGCAAGCGGCCCCCAGAAATGTCTCCCTAGGATTCCTCCAGAAGACCCAGGCAGACTGAGACTGAGCCAAGATGCACTGATGTGATTCTATGACCTCAACTCTCATCAGTTAGTGTAGGTGTGTGCATGCTAAGTCACTTCTGTCGTGACCCACTCTTTATGACACTATGGACTGTAGCCCACCAGGCTCCTCTGTCCATGGGATTCTCCAGGAAAGAATACTGAAGTGGGTTGCCATTTCCTCCTCCAGGGGATCTTCCCCACCCAGGGACTGAACCCGTGTTTCTATGTCTCCCACATTCATAGACAGGTTCTTTACCAGTAGCACCACCTGGGAAAGACCAGTTAGTATATACTTGTGAACTTTACCTAAGTCTTATATTGAATTACCCACTAAGGTGCCCTGCCTACTTACAATGTGCTTATCTAAAACTTTTAGGACACAAAGAGGACAAAGAAAGTTGAGGATACTGTAACACTCTGGAGAAGGAAACACTTGGGAATCTGTAACCAAAAGAAGGGTGAGTTTAGTGCCCACAACTACAGAGAAGAGCTAACACTCATGAAAGTGAAAGTGAAAGTCGCTCAGTCATGTCTGACTCTTTGTGACCCTGTGGTCCATACAGTCCATGGAATTCTCCAGGCCAGAATACTGGAGTGGGTAGCCTTTCCCTTCTCCAGGGTATCTTCCCAACCCAGGTCTCCCACGTTGCAGGCAGATTCTTTACCAGCTGAGCCACAGGGGAAGCCCAAGAATACTGGAGTGGGTAGCCTATCCCTTCTCCAGCGCATCTTCCCGACCCAGGAATCGAGCCAGGGTCTTCTGCACTGCAGGTGGATTCTTTACCAACTGAGCTATCAGGGAAGCCCAACACTCATGGTACAGAGTTATTTAAGCAGATAAAACAGGTAAAAGCAGCTAGCTGGGTACACCCCCACAATGGGCTCCCTGAGTTCTCTTTCCCACCCATCCTAGTCCTTTCTGGTGGGCAACCCAGTCCTGAGTTCTGCAGTTGGTAGTTGATCACTGTGCCATTTGCAGGAAAGTTCTCAAGGGCATTTCCCTGGTGACTCAGATGGTAAAGAATCTGCCTGCATTGCGGGAGACCCAGGTTTGACCCCTGGGTAGGGAAGATCCTTTGGAGAAGGAAATGGCAACCCTCTCCAGTATTCTCGCTTGGAGAATCCCATGGACAGAGGAGCTTGGTGGGCTATAGTCCATGGGGTTGCAGAGTCGGACACAGCTTAACAACTAACACTTTCACCTGGAAAACAGTTACTGAGATCAAGGTGAGTACATTATGTCTATTCCCTTTCAAGACAGGCAACTTCTCTAGGAGCTAAAGCTGCCCTATACTTAAGGTGAGAAGCAGAAGTCATACGCATAACAAGGGCCTCTTTCTCACCATAATTAAGTTTTCTTAGCAATTACCACTTCTAGAGCTTTATTTTATATCCCAGTCTCATTATCCAGAGCCATATTTAAACAGTACTTAACCACTTCCTCATGGTATTCATATACAATGGCCATAACTAGACAAGCTGAGGCTAACACATATTTAAATGAGGAAAATCCCCATACATTTTAATTTGAAGTAATGACCTTAATAAACAGGGTTACTGCTGGGAGAGGCAGCTACTGCAATCCTTTCACTAGTTTTCACTCTCCCATTCTAAGGGCGGGGACTATATCTCCTCCAGTTTTTTCACCCTCACAGCATAGCTGTGTTATAGAGGTTAGAGAATGTATCCCAGAGTCAGGAAGATCTGAATTCAAATCCTGGATTCCCCACTCCCATCCCCACTTACTCTCACTGGAGGAATTATTTAACCTCCCTGAAGCTGATTTTCTCATATGGAAGATGGGGGAGATAACCAGTAGGAATAGGTAAATAACAGGAGTCTGGCATATTTACCATGTCAGATGACAGTGCTAATTGTGATAGTTTCTTGTTCATATTTACTGGATTATCCAACAGAAAATGGACCTTCTTTATCCTCTGGCTCAAGAAGCGCATATTCCTTGAGTGACAAGGGAATTATGTCCAATGGCCAGAAGGTGTCAGAGACTCATCTTTCTCATCTGTGAATAAGGAACTGCCTTGCTCATTCACGGGGGAGAGGTAAACAAATGAGAATAGCCATGAAAGAGCTTGGAGAGCATTAATATAAACACTATGAAAATATAAGGATGTTTACTTTTCAAAGATCAGCCAAATTTTTTTCTGAATTACCATCTTCATTTACACAAAGTAGCCTGAATGCTTATTAACTCCCTCAGGAAAAGAAAGCCCTGGGGTTCTATTTTTGTTCTCTTGGTTTCTCTCTAGACATCTTTTCCCCAGGTGATGCCGCATCATATCCCGAGTTTGAGAAGGGTGTGGTGAGAAATGGAAGTGTTCTGGCCAGGAGGAGTGAAAGTGAACATGTTAGGTGCTCAGTCATATTCAACTTTTTGTGACCCCATGGACCAGCCTCCTCCATTCATGGGATGTTCCAGGCAAGAATACTGGAGTGGGTTGTACCCAGGAATCAAACCCGGGTCTCCTGCATTGCAGGCAGACTCCTTACTGGCTGATCCATGAGGGAATTTCTAAGGATGCCCCCTGCCAAATTTCAGCTCCATGCTGTGGGCTCACGGGGCAAATCCTTGCCCCCTAGGTTTACTCTAGGATTTTTCAGATAGGAAAGCTCAGGAGGAGTAGTGTGGTTCAAGAAGGGGAGATAGTATTTGCAGATGGAGCCTAAGGGTTTCTTTGGCTATCTCTCTTTTCTGTTGGCTTGCTGTTTTGTTTTAACTTGGGCTCTATGTCTCTCTGTGTGAAGTGCTCCTAGAGATTCGCCTCCGTTTGCGCCTGTCCGCACTCAGGCTGTGGGTCTCTGGTCACCTCCCAAGGCAGACGTTAAAGAGTGATCGACATGGTCACCTTAAGACTTTCTCAACTCAGCATCTAGCCGGCTAGAATGGCCAGTGTATTTGATTCTAGCCCCTGGAGAGGGAAATGGCAACCCACTCCAGTATTCCTGCCTGGAGAATCCCATGGACAGAGGAGCCTGACAGGCTATAGTTCATGGGGTTACAAAGAGTCAGACATGACTGAGCAACTTCACTTCATCCTTAGAACAGAGCATCAGAGGGCACTCTGGAGTCTGGGTGTAGGTCCTGCCAGGAGATTTGTTGGTCCACCAAGAAGGGCGATTGCTTAGAAGGCTAGGAGGAGAAGCAGGGTATGGCAAAGCCTTGCATTCTAAGTAGGTTGCTGTTTACTCACCTGTCTTTGGATTGATCCTAAATTTCCCCTGCTCATTTCCAGATCGGATGAGATACGTAATCTCAGCATTTGTGCCTATATCTTTGCTGGTGGCAAAGACGGCAAGGACTTGGGTGCCAGGGGAGGTGTCCTCGGGCACTGACACCAGATAGTCCCTCCTCTCGAACACAGGGGGGTTGTCATTGACATCCAGGACGGTGATGCTGACGGTGGCCAGAGAGGACAGCACCCGGCCCGGGCTCTGGTCGGTGGCCCGCACGCTGAGGGTGTAGGAAGACTGCTGCTCTCGGTCCAGCGGGTGCTCCAGGACGATGATGCCGGACGAGCTGTCCACGGAGAAGAACCCGTCGGCCGAGTCGGCCAGGGAGTACACAACTTTCCTGTTGATGCCTGCGGGAGACAGGGTGGGCATGAAAAAGGGCACAGCCGGGCGCTCTCCGCAGAGGACGGCTCTGCGGTCTAAGGGCCACGCAAAGGAGCACAGGGACTGTAGGACGGTTCCTACAGCTGCGGTCCTACAACTTCAGTTTGTAAAATAGATACAACCAGACCAAACGGTAAAGAAATGCAAACTGTTGGCCACGAATATCAGAAAGAGCTGGATCTGAAGCAGAATGCCTTGCATGCGTCATGCTGATATAAGTCTTTCATGTTTTCAAATAACTGACTAGCTGTCTTGATCATGTTAGAAAGACTGACTCAATTCTTTTGGCTCATGTGGTTTGCAGAAGTCACAATCTTTCTTACCTGCCTATGCCAAATAAGATGAAAATGATTTGGAAAGAGGAAAGAATATATAGGCTATAATTATTCAAACCCTCGACCAATTTCTTTATGTATTTATAATCCCCATCTGGAACTATTCTACGGAGGTTTACCACATATCTCCTAATAAACAAACCAGGAGCCTAAAAAAAAAAAAAAAAGAAAGAAATAGTTGAATCTTCTTACTATATTAAGACATTAATACATTAAATCCCATGAATTTAAAAAAAATCTCTAAGATACCAATAAGTATAGGGTCAAGATGTGCCAGCAGAAAGAGAAGTATAAATTAATGAATTAATTACTTTGACACATTTTTATATAGAATCTATCAGACACTATTCTAGGGGCTAGAGAGTCCCATAATGGATAAGGGTCTAACATTTCACAAAGGAAAATACTACATTCTGGTGAGTGTAAATAAGACATGAACAAGAACAATGAATCAGTAAAATACGCGGTATGTGAGGGAGGAAAAGGGAGAAAAATGAAGCTGTGAGTGGGGGATCACGAGTACTGGGGGGAGAGGGAGCTTGGGAGCTGGAGGGAAGTGGGTAGTTATTCCAATACAGCCATGGGAAGTTTGCTCTTGAGTGAAGATGCGAAGGAGAAGATGAGGGGGCAGCGCAGTCATCTGGGGAAGCAGACGACAGGTGGGGACCCCCGGGAGCAGAGGCGTGGGTGAGTCAGGCTGGTGTGACCGAGGAGATGCGGTAGCAGATCGGCATAACCAGAGCTGAGAAGAGACACGCGGAGGGAGAGAGAGGCGGGAGGAGGGGGACGAGGGAAGAGAGAGAGGCGGCAGGAGAGAGAGGTGGGAGGAGGGGGAC